CCCCCCCCCCCCCCGTTCTTTCTGTTTGATGAGAAGCTGTTTACTGGGGTGGGGTGGTAAGTGTGGGGTTGAGGGGGTGTTCACAGCATAAGGCTGAGGACCCAAGTTGGGAGAAGTGACCAAAGTGTGGTCAGTTTGCTGACCTCCTCTGTGGTGGATGGGCAAGAAGAGAGGGACTAGGATTGGTCTCTGGGCCCCCCATTCTGTTCTGGACCTTCCTCACATCCCTTCTCTACCATCCACTCTCAGTTTGAGACCAGGGGCTGTTCTGCAGCTCTGTGGGGGAGAGGAGGTATTTTGCCATTTCCATTACTTTCCCTTACTATTTCCCGATGACTTTCTAGGGGTTGGAGCGGTTGCTCCTCACAGGGGTGGGTCAGTTTCCCAAGCCATGTTTGGGTGAGTGTCTGTGTGCTTTAGGACTGAAGGCTGAGGCGGAGGCTGGTGGCCAGCTGGGCAGCTGTGGGGTGGGGATGGGGTAGTGGAGAAGCCTTAGCTGTTCTGGCTGCTGACCCTCCCAGGTTCCTTCTCATAGATGCCCCTTGTGCCTGAGGGTGCCTGTGTACAGAGCCCCATCCTGGCTTTCTGTTCTCTGGCCCTTGGCTTTGCTGCGTTTCCTGGCTATAGCCACACCTCTCCCCCTCCTCAAGGGTAGCCTAATTATGGAAGCCACCCTTTGCGTAGGTGCTGTGCTTCTTGGAGGGCCTGGCTGATTAGGTGAGGCCTGTCTTTCCTGAACTATCCTTGTCAGGGAGGGGGGTGGCAGAGACTCGGGGAGGGGCTTGGGGCCTGTTGTTTCTGTGGAGAGCCTGGATTCCTGTTGGCAGCCTTACGCTCGGCCGCTTGTGCTACCTCCTCGCTACTGCGTGCTTCACCCGAGGCTCCTTGGCCCTGCTGCTCTGTTCCTGTGGGCTGTGGGAGAGCTCAGGACGCAGCAGCTCCACACCCTTGTCCTCCCACCTCCCTGAACTTGCCTGTTGACTTAATGGGATGAGATAAGTGATGGTCTCCTAAGCCCAGGCATTGGCTCTGAGGCTGGGCAGGCCCACCGAGGGGCAATGGGTGCTGGCAGCAGCATGCCAATTGCCAAGTTTTCTCCTAGGGTTGTTCCTGGGCCTGGCTCCTGCATGCTGCCCCCTGTCTATGCTCAGGCCTGCCCTTCTCCACTACCCCTTCCTGAATCTGGGTCCACATACCCTTTGGGAAGGCCGGGGCACTGAGAAGCACAGCACAGGGCTTGCATGGTCTGGGCAGGGGCTGGGACAGGAGCCACAAGAGTCACAAACAGTTTCCCAGGAAAGGCCTAGCACCGCCTCCCTTCCAAGGCCAGACCTCTGCCTTCCTGGTTCCTCCTGTGCCCCTGTGAGCCCCTTAGCCCCTCGCGCCTTCATTGCTGTTTAGATTAAAGCCTCTGTTTTGCACCTGTCACCTGTGTGAGGCTTGTCTTTTCATGCCACATGCTTGTTGCATCTCTGCATAACTATTTGTTCTCTTATCAGGTCCCCTTCCCTCAGGCCACCGTATCTGGGATTGAGCTTTTTCAGCTTGGGTCAAGCCTTTCCTGGACAGTGGGATGTGTGACAACAGACTCTGGAGCAGAAATCTGGGCTCAAATCCCAGCTATCCCCCACCCCCCGCCCAACTGCTGCAAGGTTGTGGGTAAATTATTGAATCTCTCTGAACCTCAGCTTCCTCGTCTATATAAAATTGGGACAATCACAGAGTGACTGCCAGGAGTGGACAATGGATATGAAGCCCTCAGTCCAGGGACTGGTGCCTAGCAAGTGCCTCATGGTCACTGCAGCTGTTCTGGATGAATGCAGCCCCTCTGGACTCCTGGGTCAGCCCTAAGCTAGCCCAGAGGAGCCTTTGGATGGGACTTGGCAGTGAGACAAACACCTGCAGTTTTGAAGGTGGTGGCCCTCTATTCTCCCTGCTCCGTTCCCTTCTGTCCCCCTTGTGTTGGAATTGAGCATCTCTGGGGCTACTGTGCCTGGAGACTTCCTCTGTTAGACACTTAGACACTCCTGTTTGGAGAATAAGAGCCCTCGGCCTTTCTCCTGGCCTTGGAAGCATCGCACCGGGCGACAGAAGAGTCTCAGCCCTAGGTCACCTTGCACCTCTTCCAGTGGAGCGTGGTGGCTGAGAGCCCTGCCTCTGGAGTCAGGCCCTCCTGAGTTCAAACCCAAGGAGTGCTGCTTACCAACTAGGAGACCCTGATGGTTGACTGTATCTCTTTGAGCCTTGGCTTCCTCATCTGAAAAATGGGCACAATGATACTACATCATGGCTCACAAGGATTAATTCATTTCACAAATAGTGGCTGCATGTTCCTCATGACAGCACTAAATCCAAAAGTAATGTTAGGTGCTGGTGTGTATCATAAGGAAAATAACAGCAATTAATTAGGACGTTGGCAGGGGTAGAAGGGGGTTACTTGAGCTAGATGGGTCAGGAAAGACCTTGAAGGATGGGTGAGCTGAGACTCCAAAGAGGAAGAGCAGCCCTGGAGAGGGCTGTGGGGAGAGCTGTAGGCCCAGGGGGCAGGGCCCAGGGACCCTGAGGTGGCCAAGGAGGCCTGGCTTCTAGGCAGCAGGGCCTTTCAGACTCTGCTGAGGAGATTGGAGTTTAGTCTTAAAGAGTGTTCTGTGGGAAACTGCTGGAGGGTTTTGTGCATGAGGTGGGTGGGACAAGAGGGGAGCTTGGGCCATTTGGGAGGCTGTAGGGGCCATTTGGGAGGCTGTAACTGCATGTGGGCACAAGAACAGTGGCCTGGATAGGGTTCAGAAGGGGTGGTGAGAAGTGGTCGATTTGGGCTGTATTTGGAGGAAGGGAGGCATGAGAGGGAAAGAAGAACCTCAGTTCTTGGCATGCGTACCTCGATGCCACGTGTGGGTGGGGAAGACTAAGGGTGGGAGGTGTCCGTCAGCTTCAAAGAGGTGTTGAGTATGCAGCTGGGTAGGCTGCCTAGGGCTGCTGAAGGGGATCAGGCAGTGGCCAGCAAAGTGATGGGGTGCAGAGTCAGCAGACCGAGGTCATGCAGTGTGCGGAGTGTGGGTGCAGTAGAGAAGAGGGCTGAGTGGGCAGAGTGGGAGGACAGAATGAGGTGCTGGTGGGGGACCCTGAGGTCTTAGGCCTCATCTGTGCCCTTGTTGGGTGCTGCTTCAGTGGAGGGATGGGGTGGCATTGGGGGTGGGTTGAGGAGGGAATGGAAATGAAAACATGGGGACACATGAAACAGCTTCTCTGCCCTGAGCACTTGCTTCCTGCCCACACAGCCTTGAGGAGTTCTGCTCACCGCAGCCTGGAGGTGAGGCCTCTCAGCCAAGCCCACCTGGCCAGAAGTAGGAATATGGAGCGGGACTCATGCAGATACCGGGAGCAGAGACAGGTTGAGTGGTGGGGGCTTGCGGTCAAGGGAGGGCTTTTGGAGGCTGGCCTGTTCAGGTGGGTTGTTTGTGTCTTGCCTCCAGCAGCATGCTGGGGACATACAGGAGAAGGGAGACTGAAGGAAGCCCTTGAAAAGGCACAGGTGGCCTTCACCAGGCCGCTGCGGCAGGGTGCTTGTCCCTTCTCACAGGGGGATTGTACTGAGCTTACTTTTGCAAGGAAATGTGAGGCAAGGCCATCAGCTGCCCAGGGGCGCGGAGGGGGCTGTGGAATGGTCCGAGAGGGAACAATGAGAGGGAGCAATGGGAGCACTAAGGTCGGGGGCAAGGGCTTCTGGGCGGGGTGAGAAGCCCGCTTAGGCCCTGGGAGGTGGGATGGGGGAGGATTCCCACCTCCAGCCCATGCTGTGCTCAGTGAAAGATGGCCATGCTGTTGTCATCCTCAGAGGGTCAGTGGGTCTGAAGGAAACCCTTTGAGTATGGGGGCTGGCCCCTAGGGCTAGAGGGTGAGGGTAGCTTCTCACCAGCCTGGGCCAGAGAACAGGTCGAACTTAGCAGCTTGTGTTTCTTCCTGGCCGGCAGTGGT